CGGGGTGGGGCCTTTGTTTACGAGGAAATTACCATCCCTATGAAAAGCCTTTCGGGTATCTTATTTTCCCTTTATTAATGGCCTTGGTTCCCATAATTAATCCAATTCAATCAGGTATAATTAATACGTCCCTCCCCGATGTTAGTGTGTTACTGCTAGTCACCGAGAATTGGAATTTATTATTTTCATCTCCCCATGAAAATAATAAAATCAAATATGAAAGATGTTCCGAATGGGCGGTTAAGACATATTGTGAAATAGGTGTGAGGTGCGTTCTGTAAGGAGGAGATCAGGATCTTGATCGTGGGATCCAAGGCCATCAGCACGGACAAGTGACAAAATACCCTTGTACAGTTGGTGATTGACTAATGGGGTTATAACCGATAAGGGGAACTTTTTGCTTCTAATATCAACTAAAGTAACACTTTTGGAAGAATTACAACGTTAAGGTAACTTTTTACGAAAAATATCATTTAGGAGCAGCGACATATGAAGAAAAATGAGGACACGGTATAGTATATAAATTGAACTTTCTCTCCTTTGTCTTTCTCTCTCTCCCTCTGCTGAAGCTTCAAGAATAGGAGTCGGTGTCGGTTTTTTATTCGAAAACTTTCCACTAGGGTACACAGGGACGCACTAGGTAATGGCTCCCTCAAGTGGAGGAAAATTCTGAGAAGCACAGATCAAAGCAGGCAACACCCCACCAAACAACGCAGACCTCGATGTTTTACCACTTTACCAAACCATGACGCATTTGGAGGAACCCGCTGGTGGTGGCACCAGTAATATAGAGTTTCAAGGGTCTTCTTTTTGTTGGATATAGACCATGGTGCAACTGAAGATGGAGAAGAACTGCCTCAGTCAGTAAAGCTGTTGGATTTTAATCTCATAAGAGATTAAATTTAATGGGTTTAATTGGTCAATTATATGAGAAATTGTACTTGCACATTTGAGTGAAAAATTAGCTTTTCTCTTACAAAATCCAATTTTGAACTTATCCCACATTGAAAAATTATAAACTTTGTTTTCAGTATTTTAATAGGAGTTGATTTACACTCCTTAAAAATAGAAGATGAGATTATGGGAGTTTGATACCGCGCAACGCACGCATACACAATGAGGCGCACTTTGTTTGCACCTGTGTGGACAATGTCTTCAGAGCTTTTCCTCCAAAGTTACAATCACCCCATTTACCAACAGAAGCTGCCATGTTTTTGTTTTTCTCCAAAACATATAGAGAGAGAGAGAGTTGGTCCCTGTTTTTGTTTTTCTCCATAACAGAGAGAGAGATGAATGATGACCAAGGTCATCTCATTTTGAGCGAGAGAATGAGAGCGTTTTCGAATGAGAAGAATAATTTTGTCCAAAAAATACGAATACAATTTGTATCGCATACATATAAAGACCTCGTATTTAAGTGCTCTTGTTTGATATTTTCAAAAAAAGTTATCTCGAAATTGTAATTTTTCTAAGTGTTATCTTTATTGTTATTAGGGACAAAAAGTTGCATGTTAGAACCCCTTATGGGATTAGGAGCTCCTTACATGCACATCTACTGTGCATTGAAAACATCTTCGGTGAATAATATCTTATAAATACGGGAAATGTTCCTAATGTATGATATGATATGCGTGTGAGGCACCTTGTGTGAAGAGTTCACACAGATCCGATCTCCCAATGAGCATACTTCCGTTTAATAACGAGAAAATGACAGTTCAGCCGGGTCAGAATCTTTAGACTCAAAGTATATTTAGGATAGGTGCCCGTTTGGAATTTAGTAGCGGGCATTAGTGTATAGAACGGGGTATTCGAGTTCAAATCACCCCCCTACAAGACTGTCCCAACAACGTACGGGGAACATTTTCCCATGATTACATCAACATTTAATTCGTTGAGTTTTCTTATAATGTATAAATGATCGACAACGCAGCGCTCTCATGACTGACCCAACGAGAGCGCGTTCATCGAATCAAATGATTCCACTCTCTGTGGCTCTCTGGCTAATGCTTGAATGATCGACAACGCAGCGCTCTCATGACTGACCCAACGAGAGCGCGTTCATTGAATCAATGATTCCACTCTCTGTGGCTCTGGCTAATGCTTGAATGATGAGACGTCATAGGGGCTGTCTCATTACTGCAATAAAATCCAAACACAACCTGCTCCCAGTCTTATCCTCCCGTGCTAGATTCAAAATTATGTGGTCCAGGAAAAGCCCATAACCCTGAAGACGTCCAGTGATCCAGTCAACTCATATGAGAATACAAAGCCCAAAACAATTTTAAAATCAAACTACCCACTAATAGAAGGTGAGACAAAATGGGGAATTACTAAGATGAAAAAGATGTTATAAATATGAGATTTGTAAGTGTTTTTTACTTTAAAAAAGTGTTTTCTTATTACTTTAAGGTAAATTTGAACTACAAAAGATAAAGGAGAAGAATTAATTTTAATATTTATTAAATTGATTTTGTGGTAGTATAATTTATTGCATTATTTATTTTAGATTTTTTTTTTAATTTATTTGCAATGCAATTTCATTTGCATTAGAACAAATGTATGCGAATACAAATGAAAGAAAAAAGCAACTTCTAATTCACTATTCCTTCAAGTTTTATTTTATTTTATTAAATAAGCAAAACAAACTAAAACCCAAGATTAACCTAAACCAGAATTTGCACTAAACCTATTTGTACTACATACTTTTGTACCAGTGCAACTGAAATTAAACTGTAAACTTCTAAGGCCTTAAAGCAAATTTGAAGTACCAAATTTAGGAGGAAATCAAATACAAACCTATCAAACAGCAATATAGAAAGAGCTTTCACCGATGTAGAACAATTCCAATAGCAAGTGACTGGTTATCCAATTTTATGATATGGTTGATTGATTGCAATTTGGTATGGTTTTCAAAACCGGATTAGATTGGACGGTCGGACCGGAAAAACCGAGAACCGGTTAGGTGATTGGTTCCGTTTTTCCCTAAAATCGGATTTTTTCCAAAAATCGTTGATTTTGGTCAGCAAATCATTGACCTGGGCGATTAATTGTTCGAACGGTTTTGATTGTTTATTTTATTTTTTTTAATTTTTTTGTTAGAATGGGACGATCGTTCAACCTAGGAATTGGACCCTTGACCGGTTCGTTCTTTGGATTGGTTTTAAAAACCTTGCAATCTGGTATCATAAAGGGGAGGAGGAAGACGAAATGAAATTTTATTTTTGTTTGACAAAAGTTATATCAATGATCTATTCAACAAAAAATGAAGAAAATAAATGGTATACCAATATAACACCAGGAAATTCTTGAATCAGGATTTGTTCTTCATAGCCACATCCCACCGTGTATTGAAAACATATCTCTATGAATAATAAATACAATTACAGGAGATATTCCCAATGTACGATCAATAGCATACTGTGAGATTAGTACGAAGAGTGATTTGTGAAGAGCAGATATGGGCTCAAAAGTCTTATCAGAAACTTGGGGGGAAATTATTTGCTCAAAAGTCTTATCAGATATGGGCTCAAAAGTCTTATCAATAGCATACTGTGCAATGGATTTTACTGTATAAAACAAAAAAGTGGGAGGAGAAAATTAATTAAAGAGATTGAAATGTTTTTAGTTAGACGAAAATTAATACCCATAAATTGTATATTGTAAGGTTATTATTTTAACCTTTTGTATCCATGGTCACCTAGATATGGAACCAAATTCAATTTCTAATATTCACTATGTATCTAATCAATAAAATTAGGTGTTCAATTATGGTGCATTCATTGATATTGGTTGCATGTTAATAAATCTAGATCTAAACCAATTACATTAAAGCCTGTTTACTACTTTTTCTTAGTTCACGTTTTATAAATTATACTTTTGAGTTCAAATCAGCCCCTATAACGTTTCACAGCACTAGCACTGTTCACGGGTCGGGTTGGGTCGGTTTACTGTAGTTTTTCCAACTGACTTGACTTGGTTGGGTTACCTGACATAGAAACTGAAACCGACCTAGTGTTAAGCAAAATCGACCTGGTCGGTTTAAGTCAGGTTGGGTCGGTTTCGGTTCTAAGTTCATCCTTGTGATAAAATCTTGGCTAATTTTAAAAACAGTCATAAATTGAACATCATTTCAGCCATCTCCTATGATAAAATTTAAATGAAAAGTTAATCACAAAAGTTGTTCATTAATCACTATTCACTAATCCAAAGTTTCTTGCAACCATTCAAAAACTAGGTGGCCTTATGGGTTTTGGAACTTCATGTTTGAACTAGGAACTAAGTCGGTTCGGTTTGGGTTTGTTTCGGTTTTCTTGTGTGAAAACCAAAACCGACCCGAATCATCGGTTTAGGAATTTTGCACAACCCGAAACTGACCCGTGCTGATGAAAACCCGGCCGACTCGGATTGGGTCGGTCCAGATTGATCGGTTTGGTCGAATTGGGCCTTCTTATGAACAGCCCTACACAGCACATCCCTGCCATGTATTGAGAACATCTCCCAATGATGATATCATCATTCCTGATATTATCATTGGGATATTTGTGAGGAATTGATTCCGTCTCTATAATTTTATATTCAATAGAATTTATTTACCATCACATTAAAGTTTGTTACTGGATTCATTCCCTGTACGGGTGGGGATAAAAAATTCAGTCATTCTCCCTAAATTCAAATTGAAAGACAGATTGCAGATTAAGAGGGAATAACCCCCCAAAAACAATTTATGCTGTTCTCTTTTGAAAAATCAAAGAATAGAAATTAAAGATCCAAATAAGTAATAAAGCTTGGCCTTAACTTAATGCAGTCCTAATTGATCTCTTTGTTAGTGCAAACAATTAATTAAGCTTGGTACTTAGCTTATTCGGGTAAATTGTACCTCCCTCTTTCTCTCTCTCTCTAATGAACATGTATATATAATTAAACGACCACCAGAGATCAAGATCAGATATAGACGGAGAGGAGTTGGAGAAGTTGATGAGTTGTACTTTATGCATGTAACGATGTCGGGGGTGTTGATATTCAGAAAGAACGGCGTGGTGCAGTTCATCTCCAATCCAACCAAGGAATCATTCCAGCAGGAAGCAGAGGCAGAGTCAACTTATTTTGGGGTTGGAGGAGGAACGGCAACGGCACCAGGCGCCCGTCCACGAGTGTTGGTGTACGTCCCTTCGAACCAAGTTATCAAATCCTACGCCGAGCTGGAGCAACGCCTCCAGGAACTCGGCTGGACGCGCTACCACAACGGCCAGAGCCGGAGCTCCGACCTCATCCAGTATCACCGCTCTGATGCTTCAGCCCACCTCATTTCTCTCCCCACCAACTTCAACAACTTCAGCTCCATCCACATGTACGACATCGTCGTCAAGAACCCCTCCTACTTTCAGGTCCGTGTCCTATGATCCTATATCTACGTGCGTGCCCTTCCATCTCCCTTATTCTTCCAGTCTTTAGGCTATGTTTGGGAGTGCACCAATAAGCATTTATTTGTGTCTGATTAACTGCTTAATTATTCAACAGTTTCAAAGTTTCCGTTTACTTTTAAGTGATTATCCGATAGAAGGTTTATTAATTTACTTTGTAGCCTGTATTGGGAAATGGGAACATCGATCTCTTGTATTATAAGCCTACGGATTTTTTTTTTTTTTTTTTTGATGGATAAATTAACTAGAAATTAAGACAACACTATAACAAAAAGAGAGGTTCTATACAATCAGGCGGATGGCCCCAAAGCCAAAGCAGAAATCATCCTCCAAAGATTTTCCAAATTGATTCAATTTATGGGCCACCTGAGTCTTAAGATCTGTTAACATATTTGAACTTTACATTTACAAAAAAAGTAGGAATAATTAAGAGATAATTCTGTCCATCCAAATAGCTGAAGAACAAAAGAAAACCCAGACGATCCTGGTATTGTTCACATAACGCAGTTGATTTTTTATTTTAAACAGAAGTGTACACATTTCGCTGCGGTTTACTGGTAGTAGCTAATATGTTACTAAAAACCATGCAATAATCTTGCGCAGTTCCATTCAGGTTTTTACAGGTTTTCCGATAAATTGAAGTGTAAAAATAATTGTAGCGAAATTGTGCAGCAGATCTAGATTCTCTTGCATGGTTTTCGAACTGTTCCAGGTCATTTGGCTTGGGGGAATCGTCCATGCAATCAGTTCTGTTTTACCCTGCAAAAAATCATTGAATCAGTTAACCATTCATTGAACCTAGCAATCAAACCATCAACATGCATGTTCAATGATTTTTGGTCATTTTTTATTTTTAGTTATTTTTTTTAAATTACAAAGACCCTCCTATACTTTGTTTTGTGACAAAGACCTTCATATATTATGACTGTGAGACAAAGACCCCCCTTGACCGTTAAGTCAAATGATGGAATAGGTTAAATTATCAAAATAACCCTGCCTTTTTTCTCTTAAAACCTATTCAACCTATTGTTTTTCCTTTCTTCACTTCTTTCCCCCTCCCTTGCCATTCTCTCTCATTCTTTCTCTCTCCCAACTCTCACCCAACGCCATGAGAAGGGATTCTCTGCTCATCCCCTCCAAACCCATGCCGCTCTTCTTCTGCCTACAGAGATGCTCTAACCTCGGAGTGTGAGAGGTACAAGACACGGTGAGTTAGGGGGAACCCAAATCAGAAACTACAAATTCAGTGAAGATTGCAGAGACAATCTTGTTTGGGACTGGTCTTATTAACTTATCAGCTAGGCACCGGGTCCACCCCAACCCAGACCCATTAAAAAGCAAAAAATAATTGTATTCGTCTATTAGACAACTGGGTAATATTCTATGGGAAGGGGAAAGATGGGAAGCGGATTGAGTAGTTCAAACATTCTGAACATTGAATATGAAGAACAGTTGGATTCCATTAGTAATCTTCCGTAATCCTGATAGCTAACGCCTGACCCAATTTCTCTGAAGAACAGAGCGAGCGCTGGCCCCTCTGAATAACAACACTCCCGGCTGGGTTCTTATAACATGATCCACTTCCAGTCTAATCTTGCCTTGTAGTAAGCGTCCATAATCCTGATAGCTAACGCCTGACTCAATTTCTCTGAAGAACAGAGCGAGCACTGGCCCCTCTGAGTAACAACACTTCCGGCTGGGTTCTTATAACATGATCCAATTCCAGTCTAATCTTGCCTTGCCATCGTTCTCTCTAAACAAATTAAGCGTCGAAATTTACTTTAAACCATAAACCAATGGTGGCTGATGGTAGCCAATAAGCACTCTCCTCTTGTTTCATCTTCGAGGCGAGGAGAAATGCTCGTACCGTTCATGGAATTATGCAAGGGTCTCGGTTCTGTTAGCCATGGACAGTCGGAAGTTAATATTCGCTTAGGGTAGAGAGAGAGGAGAGAGAGAAGAGAGAGAGAGTGTGAGGTTGGGGAAGATGAACAGTATTTTTCTCGTCTAAGGGTCGTATGAGGATTAAAAAATATTACAATGGCCTTTTGGGATGGAAGGCTAACCGAAGGGTCTTTGTCTCACGGTCATAGTACAGGGGGTCTTTGTCGCAAAACAAAGTAGAGGGGGTCTTTGTCACAGACCCCATAGTATGGGGGAGTCTTTGTAATTTATCTTAATTGTTTTGTCAGAGTGGGCCATCTTTTCGAACCGAAGTGTTGAGCCGTCAATCCGAAAACCGATGACTAGAATGATTCTGTTTCTAGGTTGTTTTTTAAAACCATACTCTCTTATAAGTTATTCTCCATGCAATTAAAACCGAATCGTATACTATCGGATTTTTTTTGATAAAAAAGAAACTGTTAGCACATGTACAACTCGACAATAACTGACTCAATCACTTACGAATTCTCCTATTAATTACTTACTTATTTTATAACTAACCAAATTTACCTTGTATCTTTTTTTTGAAATTCAAATTGGTATTGTAACTGACAACTATATATATTTGGTTTCAATTACAATCAATATTGCGGGAGAAAATCCTTTTTTTTCCAATACTATCCAGTTTTCGCATTCTTCCTAACTTGGTATCAAAGCTTTCTTATCCGGGCTCTCATGGCATAAGGAAGCACCTCCTCTACAGCAACCACTGTAGCATATGGATCAATGAGTGCACTTAGTCCATCAAACATGGGCAACATTGCACACCTTCTTCCCATCAAGTTGAGCGGGAACAACTTTAATCTATGGAAGGCTCAGTTCATGCCAATTTTCAGACTTCATCAACTATTGGGATATATTGATGGTACGAATCCCTGCCCTTCTCAATATGTTAGGAGCTCTGTCCCTGGAACTGATACTAAAGACACAATGAGTGTCAATCTTGCATATATTACTTGGCAACAAAATGATCAAATGATATTAATTTGGATCATTGCCTCTCTCACTGAATCCACTATGGCACATGTTGTTAGCTATTCTACATCCTATGATGCATCGCAGAAACTTACCCGAACATATTCCTCGTCCTCTCGTGTGAGAGTTCAACAACTGAGACTTCAATTAGCAAATCTCAAGAGAGGATCTACTAGTTGTACTTAGTACCTTGAGAATGTGCGTATCATTGCTGATAATCTTGTAGCAATAGACAAACTAAAGTCTGATGAAGATCTCATTTTGGCCGCTCTAGGAGGCCTTGGCCCTAAGTATGGACCATTTGTTACATCTGTCACTACAAGAGCAACTCCTCTTTCCTTTAATGACTTTTGTGGTATGCTTCTTAGTCAAGAATATCGTTTGAATGATCTTTAACCTCACAACTCAGATCTTCAAATACCATCAGTTAATGCAGATACGAAGTCCTATCAAGGTTCACACTGTGGTCACAACAACAATTATAAGGGAAAACAACAGAACACCCACTACAAATAGCAAGGCAAAGGCCAATATCCACATCAACACAATGGTCAGAATCATGGTAGTGGCAAAGGCTACAAAGGGAATGGTCAGTACTCAAATTATAATCATGGAGGTGGACCACAGTATCCATGCATCTACAGTCAACTCTGTAATCAGTCGGGACACAAGGCTCTGCATTGCCCACAACATTTCAACCATGCACTCATAGGTGAAATGACATCCAACATGGCTACTACTCATTTTAATAACTTTAGAAATGTGTGGTATCCTGACTCGGGTGCTTCAAATCACTTAATTGCAGACATATCCAATTTGTCCCTTCACTTTGAATATCAAGGTCCAGAACAAATTTCAATTGGTAATGAAACAGGTTTGTGTATCTCCCATGTTGGCTCTTCACAATTTGTCTCTAGCTCTTACCCCTATATGATGAAAGATATTCTCCTTGTTCCTAAAATCAAGAAAAATCTTTTATTTGTTAGTCAATTTACATGAGATAATAATGTTGTATTTGAGTTTCATCCTACTCATTTTGTGATCAAGGATCGAGAGACGGGGAAGGAACTAGTTCAAGGCCCGAATAAGAATGGCTTGTACTAGCTCATAGTAGATCGTGTTCTCTCTACAAATAAATCTCATTTGTCAACAATGACTAGTGAATGTACCACTTACACTCAATGGCATCATCGGTTTGGACATCCCTCCATGAACGTTTTGAAGCGTATTCTCAACCAACATGGTTTACCTTGCATAAATAAATTGGACAAATCTCTATGTGTTGCATGTCAAACCAGCATAAGTCATCGCCTTTCTCTTCAATCTAGTTCTACTAAGAGTATTGCACCACTACATTTGATCTTTTCAGATGTTTGGGGGCTAGCACCTGTTGCCTCAGTGGATGGTTTCTGTTACTATGTATTGTTTATGGATTATTTTTCTAAATATACTTGGATATTTCCCATCTCACATAAATCTGATGTGCTTCATGTGTTTATGAGATTCAAACGTCTAGTTGAAAATTACTTTGACTGTAAGATCAAATCTCTTCAATCAGATTGGGGTGGAGAGTATCAGTCATTTTTCAAGTTCCTTGACTCTCAATGTATAGTACATCGGGTTTCTTGCCCTCATACCCATGAACAAAATGGGTCAACAGAGCACAAGCACCTCCAATTGTCGAATCTGGCTTGGCTCTACTTCATAATGTTGGTCTTTCATCTACCTTTTGGTCGTATGCATTTACAACTGCTACATATCTTATTAATCGGTTACCCATGAAGTCCAATGGTAATTTATCACCGTATGAGTGCCTCTTTCATCAAGCTCCTAATTACACCTTTCTAAAAGTTTTTGGGTCCTTGGCTACGACCATATACCAAGAACAAACTTGAGCCCAGGTCCAAACAATGTTTTTTGTAGGGTACAACCCCACTCACAAAAGCTATTTGTGTTATCACCAAGCAACAAAGAAAATTTTTATTTCTCGGCATGCAGTCTTTGATGAATATACTTTCCCCTTTGTAGCAGCAAGTACCATTGATCACTCATCCAAAGAAAGAACTTTGTTGCTGCTTATTATTTCTTCTCCATTATAGCATAACGCAATGTCTTCATCTATGCCACATGCTGAACCTCCACCATCTACTAGTAATCTACCACCATCTATCAACACTCCAAGACCCACAATTGACAACCACTCATCTATAACTATCTCTCCATCTAATGTTGCTACATCATCCGCTCCAGTTTTTGTTGACAACACATCATCAAATGTTGTAATGCCTCCAGCACCCACTCGATGTCATCCTATGGTCACTAGAAATCAAGATGGGACCCGGCAGCCAAAAATTCTTTTTTTAGGATTTTGCAATACAAGTGATCAAATAGAACCCACAAGCTATTCACAGGCAGTTAAAGATCCACAATGGCGTCAAGCCATGACCGATGATTTTAATGTTCTCATCAAGAATGGTACTTGGGTATTGGTTCCTCCCAACTCTCATTAGAACTTTGTTGGTTGTAAATGGGTTTTCAAAATTAAGTGGAACCTAGATGGTACTATGGAGCGTTATAAAGCCCGTCTCGTGGCCAAGGGCTTTCATCAACGAGAGGGGGTTGATTACAAAAAAACATTTAGTCCAATTGTGAAGCCCACAATGATTCGACTCATTCTTGCCATTGCTCTCTCACAAAACTGGATGGTGTAGCAACTCGATGTATCCAATGCCTTTTTACATGGCTACCTGGACGAGAAGGTGTATATGTCCCAACCCCCCAGGTTTGTGGATCCTCAATACCCATTCCATGTTTGTTTACTGCAATGCTCACTCTATAGGCTGAAACAAGCCCCAGGAGCTTGGTTTCAGCGTCTCAACAATTTTCTTCAAGCACATGGATTTGTTGGATCTAAAACTAATTCTTCACTCTTTATTTACTGCAATGGAGGCACTCTCATTTATTTTTTGGTGTACGTTGATGATCTTGTCACGGGCAATGACACTTTCAACAATGAACTCTCTTTTGCAGTCCCTTGGTTCTACCTTTGCTTTACGGGACCTTGGTTAGCTCAATTATTTTTTAGGTGTTGAAGCCACCTACAACTCTACGGGTCTATTTCTCAGTCAATAAAAATACACTAGGGATCTTCTCCAACGGACTAAGATGGCTAAACCTAAGGCTATCCAAACACCCATGTCTCCTTCTACCACTTTAACTTGCACATCTGGTTCAGCTCTCCCTGATCCAATAGAATACAAGAGCATTGTTAGTATGTTATAGTACTTAACTATTACTCGACTCGACATAGCCTTTGTGGTCAATCGTGTATCTCAGTACATGCACAAACCGACCATTGAACAATGGACAACCATCAAACACCTTCTTCATTATCTTAAAGCCACTCTTCACTTTGGATTGCATTTCACTTGCTCTTCCTCTTTCAATTTGTTTGCTTATTCGGATGCGGATTGGGCTGGCAATCCAGATGATCGTAAATCCACAAGTGGTTATGCCATCTATCTCGGGCCCGACCTTATCTCATGGGCCTCTCGCAAGAAATGCTTGATAGCAAGGTCTTCTATAGAAGCTGAGTATCGCTCTCTTGCCTCTGTAGCAGCTGAACTCACATGGTTACAGTTTTTAATTGGTGAACTAGGTCTCTCTTTCACCACTCCTCCAACACTATGGTGTGATAATGTTGGTGCAACATACCTAACTGCCAACCCGATTTTTCACTCTTGCACCAAACACATGGAGATAGAGTTTCACTTTGTTCGCGACAAAGTGGCCTCTCGCAATTTAGAAGTGCGTTATATTTCAACAAAAGATCAGGTTGCAAATATCCTCACCAAAGCCCTTCCTAAGGCCCATTTTGTTGATCTTCGTTTCAAATTGAACATCACTGAGAGTGAGCTCAATTTGCGGGGGCATGTTAGCACATGTACAGCTCGACAATTACTGACTCAGTCACTCACTAATTCTCCTATTAATTACTTAATTATTTTATAACTAACCAAATTTACCATGTGTCTTTTTTTTGAAATTCAATTTGATATTGTAGCTGACAATTGTATATATTTGGTTTCAATTACAATCAATCTCACGAGAGAAAATCCTTTTTTTCTATACTGTCTAGTTTTTGCATTCTTCCTAACTGAAACATATTATAATGCTGATAAAGTAACAAAGTCCTTTACATTAGGAGCCCATGAATGGTAATTAGTAATAGTAAAAAGATCCTGGTTCAGAGTTTTTGCTTTCTGAGCTATTGTGTGTGGGCTTGGAGATTATATCCCCAATTTAATTACAAAACAAAAAGAGAAGGAATTGAAACTGTTAAGCAAATTTTCAGTCTTTTATAAAAGCGAGAGGTAAGACCAAGGAGAGCAGCTTAGTGCTTGCAACACCAAAAGGGAGTCCAAGCAAATGAGAATATGTCCTTGAGAAAACTGCTTTGCAAATTGGACTCCTTGGAAAATTGCCAATAGCTCATCTTCGGCTGCAAATCCTCGACTTTGAGCCTTTCCATCCACTAAACCTAGGCAATAGAAGGAGTTATATAGGTAAATCACCCCAAAGGAACAATTATTCGCGGATAATGATCCTCCATTAGTAAATAAGATAATTTGTATATGAAGTTCTAAGTGCAAATTAAAGTTCTAAGCTGCAAGATTTTGTATAAGATTAGGCTTGGGAGTGTTTAAAAATAAGTGTCTATTTGGGTCGAGACCGTACCATGCATTAATCACTTATTGGTGTTTGAGAAATAAACCTGAAATAAGTGCTTATTTAAAAAATAAAGGCTTATCTTGTAAGCCCAAATTTCTAGCTTTTTTAAAGTGCTTATACAATAAGCACTTATTCAATTTTTTTTCCAAAATTATCCCTAGTGGAATTGTGAAATACCACTTATAAAACTATCCCTTGTTGAATTTTATAGAAGTGCTTTTATTAAAGTGCTTTCATAAAAGTACTTTTATAAAATGCTTTCATAAAGTACTTTCATAAGAGTGCTTTCATAAAAATATTTTTATAAAAGTGCTTTCGTAAAATGCTTTCATAAAAGTGCTTTCTGCTTTCGTAAAATTTGAAAGAAAATGAAGGAAAAAATAGTCACATGCTTATTTAAGTGCTTATCAGAGAAAATTAAAGACTATCAAACTCCCAACATGAAATATGTGCTTATTTTTTGAAGCACTTGAAAAAGTTGGGTGCCAAATGTAAATAAGTGCTAATTTGAATATGCACTTGCTTTTAAGCACTTATTTATAATATGAGCATTCCCAAACATGGCCTTAAGAGATTATTCACTTTCATTAAGATCCAATGCACAGAAATTTGGTGATCCTTGAAACATTTTTTATCGCAAGCATACCAGATATAGTAAAAGGCTAATGCATACCAACTTAAAATCAAGTTGGTTAGATTCTTATCTGGGATAGAATTGAGGAGAGAATTAATGCACTGGAGCCACGAGTCTTGGAATAGGGAGTGGAGTGAAATGTTCCGGGGGCTGCAAATAAGATTGCTTTGGAGAAGGGACACTAGTGTAAAAAAGATGATTCATTGATTCAAAGTCCTAAACACAAAGGCCACATTGTTTATCCTGAGGATTTCCTCAGTGAAAATCTTTTCTTTCACAAGAATATAATAGTTGATGATTCTCCAAAGAAGTAATTGATATCTCGATGGTATGGGGAAGTTTCCAAATCCTTTTATAACAATTCCTCTAGGACTCTGAGATGGATTGAGAATTGGTATGGTTAATCTTGACATAGGTCTATTTAGTTAAGAATTTCCCTGAGGGATGAAGTCGCCAGATCCAAGAGGTGAGGGTAACTCCAGGAAGGATGGGAGTACTTGGGGCTTCTCATTTGGAACTTGTTATTATCTTGAATCCAAGGAACATGCTCAATTGGGGTGTTTGAATGGAGGTTATCAAGTACCCCACTTCATGAAAATGCAACTACCATCCAATGGAGCGAGCTAGATTGCTTGACGAAATAGGGGAAACTACCTACATTTTTTAGATACTTTGATTTTCATATTTGGGCCCACAACGTTATGTTGTTCATTCAGGAATCACCAGAAGCAGTGTCCTAAAAGTCCCCAATGGGCATTAAGTTTCTTTCCTGTTTCTCATATATTATGCCATTAACACTCTCTCCTTCAATAACTCATGACACCAATTCTCTCTCATCTTCATTATTTCATTAAATTTCCTAAGATTCATTAGGGTAAATCTCTTAACTACCCTTAAGTTTTAGGAAATATATTAAAACATCTCCTATTGTTTGCAAAATCCATTAAAGTACCCCTAGGTTTTCTGACAATAGGAAAAATACCTCCCATCCATTAGTTCTCTGTTACATTCCACTCACATGTGACA